CTCTCTCTCTCTCTCTCTCTCTAACTTTTTTTTTATTTTAGTATAGTCTACTGTAACACCTCCCAATTTTTAGGATCTCTTAAAGTCGCCTGTATTACCGACTAAATCATATAATTTTTGTATAACAATTACTTTTTCTCTTTTACTAATGGGAAAATCTTTTTTCAGAATTAAAGAATACGCATTATTACATGTCTGTGAAATGGAGTATATGCTGAGACAACAAAAAATTTCGAATTGAGATTTTCTTTATCACTTCTTAGTTTAATATATGGTGCTCTAGAGCTGTCACATCGTGACAACATTTGCTTTGTATAAAAGCTGTGTAATCTGTACTTATGAAATCATAGTCCACAGACTAGTAGTTTGCATAAAGAAACAGTATGAAGTTCTTAAAATTGGACTTAGACGTCTAATTAAAATGCAATTGTTATACGAAAATTTATATGTATGTGTGGCGTGCGTAAGTGAGATATGGGCTGTGTTCCAAAATTTACTGCTAGTACTGAAAGTCTGTAGTACACGTGACGTAAACTATAGACTTTCAGTACTGGCAATAAATTTTGGAATACAGTCATTGATGCAGTGATGTGTCAATGACACGTAAATCGTCTGTGTGTATCAAATTTTTAGAATTTTATATTTCACATATTCAAAACTATCTTCTCCTCGTGCTCTCCGATTTATTTAGATTCAATTCCAGTGGTAAAATAACTTTCGCGCGCTTCCGTTTACTAACCTTCGTTCTCATCTCCATCGTTCTCTTTTCTACCCTTCTGTTTCCCTCTACCCTTGATACCTCGAGAAGTTCCCAAAACAGCGCGACGCCTCCACGAAAGCATCGTTTACTACGGACATCGCGTACTTCCGGCAATTCTCGTGCGACTTCGATAGGGGTGTATTTAACGGCGAAATTGTTGGACGCTATGTTGTAAAAACATATAGAAAATATATAGCTTCTACTTTTAAAAAATTGCTCAAGCTGTCGTTGAAAGTAACGGAATTATAATTATTTCAGACCTCACTTAAATTATCAAGACTATTAAAATTTTAATTATTATAGTTGTCAAAATTACGTAAATTATTCACCATTTTATTTAAATCTTAAAAATTCTAATTTTAAAATAATTTTCTAAAAGAGCTGTTCCACTTTTAAAAGAACTTGATACATTATATGTATTTATATTGAATCTAAAAGATTCATACATTTTGTTGAATTAAATCTTACAAAATAATTGAGGCAAACTTGCTCCTTCCATAAATAGTATTATTTCTATATAAACTTTTTGTTTACAAATTTAATTTTACGTTGAAACACAAAAAAATATAAACATGCGTTACTATTTTTAGAAAATATATACTATGCGAGAATTAATTCAATATACAATAAAAATTATTAATCATTAATTTCCACTTTAAAGAAAATTATATTGTTTCCTCATAATTATTATTATTTCATATTACATCTATTTCTGTCTAATTTAAATGAAAACATTTAAAAGTTTTAGAAGTTATGTGTGTATGGAATACTTTACTGCAAATCCCATTTATGTACAAAATCGATAAATAAAAAAAAAATTACAATGTTTAAAAATTTACAATTTTTTTGTTTACTTAAAATAGGAAAGGAACATTTCAATTAGACATTCTTTATTTTCTCTTTACACGCGATAACAAAATTATTTTTTATAAAAATCGAATTCAAAAACGATTGAGAACAATATTGTTGAAATATTGTTACAATATTAATTATATACAATGTAATTTCTCTAGTCACACTCCTGATCACTGATCGCACCCTCTTGGTTTCCATGCGGTGGTGCACTCAGTGCGAATCGCGCAGCCGCCCGAACACCTCGGGAGAGATTGGCCTCGCGTTGTGATCGCGTGCGAAAAAAGGATAAAAGAAACGGGGGCGCTATAGGAGGGAGAGAGTAAGAGAAAGAGAGGAGAGAGAGAGAGAGAGAGAGAGAGAGAGAAAGGAACAGGTGAGAAAGACCTCGAGATGTTCGGCGTCTTTGAACGAGTCTTTACGAGTCGCGATATCTGTGCTGCGGAGTATGATATTGTTATCCGCGGCGTTGTGTGAACGTCGCGGCCTCGAGATTCGTACCCTCTAGCCCTATTATTGACTCGGGGTTGGTTTGGCAGCCATGACAAGAGGTTGCATTCGCCGCGAGATTGCCAGATGGCGCGGCGTGTGCGGTCCACCCTCCCTGGAATGCTCTCGGCGAGGATCCTGCCGACGCTGTCGAGCCCCACGGGTCCATCGACGACGCTGAGGGCGATCGACGGCGACCAGGAAGAACGCGCTCGACGCTGAGCGTTGCCGTGAAAGTTGTGAGCGCGCGGCCGCGCGCGAACGAACGCCGCGCGTGTCGAAGTGGTGTCGCGCGAGAGCGGAAGCGGTGCGGAAAGTCCATTTCGGAGGGCTGCGTTTGTCGTTTAGGACGGACGGTAGGCCCGACGGTTCCGTTACGAGGGCGCGTACAGTATTTCCGGAGGAACTTGAGCGGGGGTCGAGGGGATTGCCGGAAGTCTGGTGTTTGCTGGACCGGAACCAAGCGGGATCGAGCCTGGCGGAGCAAAATGCAAGTCGGTCTTCGGGAGTGCCGTCCACCATTTTGGGTGCGCGGAGGTTATTCTGTATCCCTCACGGAGGCGTCGAGATGCCCGCGATATTCTCTTTCGGAATGATCTCTCTCTTTTCCTCTCATTCCTCCTTATCCTCTCTCTTAATCTCCTTTTTTCCGTTTCGACGTTTTTCGCCGAGGAAAGAGTGAGTGGTTTCCGGAGAGGAATCGGTATCGCGCGACGTCACTGGCACAAAGATCAGCTGGATCGCCCTACTGTCCCGGTGCATCGTTGAAAAAGTCCTGGGACGTTCCGGGACGTCATGACCGTCCCGATGCCACAGAACTGGAGCCATTTTTATGTGTTGCATGCCGGGAGGAGCGGCTCTCCCGCTGGAAACTGGGTTACCGCGTCGCTTCCGTTCGAATTTCTCCTCCACTCGTCGCCCAGAGACTCGTAGTTTTATGTGTCGCGGTTAAAAAGCGTGCTCCCTGGTTTCTTGAGATATAATTGTATACGCGGTGCCGAATGCGGTTGCTCGGTAAAGGAAATTCGTGCAGGCAGAAAAGGCGTGAGTTCGGATTTCGGGAGTGAGAAAAAGTGGTACGTTGATGTCAGTCGAGTGACTAACTGTTGTCAAGAGAAGCAGGGATTTGTACATTAAGGTAACAGAGATTGTAGATTTCTGCTGGATTCATCGCAGTATTTTGTGCGGGGACAGAAACGTGGATCTACACACATAAGGAAAGGGAAACGTGTCGAGGGAGTGAGGGGAGAGAGTGCGCGGGTAGATTTCGTGGATCGTGGTAGTTGTCGAGGAATATCATATGGGAGAAGGAAAAGCGCGGATCAATTAATGAAGAATAGATTATCCTTTTTCTTCTCTCTCTTGGCGGACTTCTGGTGGAGTATTATGCGGGCAAAGGAGATTCGTGTGTTAATGGTGAAGAAATGTTGGCCAGATATTTGAAACTAACTATGTTGAGGGTGGCAATAATTGATCTGGGTTGAATTGGTGAAGTTGTCAAAGAAAATCGTGCAGAGACGCGCATATGTGTGTTGACCGAATTGGCGAATTTGTCGGGAAAAATTGCGCAGGTGAAACAGACTGGGTCGGTTCACTGAAGGGAGATAAATGTGATATCAAATTCAAGGGTGTACGAAAGCAGTTATGAAGCAGTGCGAACAGATTTTGTGAATCGGTGGACTTGTTGATGAATATCGGGCAAGAAGAGAAAACTAGATTTAGGAAGAGAAATACTGGGAATGAAGATCTTACGCGGTGTAATTAATATTTAGATCGAGAAATGCTGTACGGAGCAGAAAGGCGTGGATCCATGTATTGAGCGAGAAAATACGTGGTACCTGCGTTCGATGAGAAAATATTTCGCGAGATTGACTGTTACTAAGGATTTCGAAAGAGAGAAGTACCGCTGCCCTGTGTTCAATATAATCAATATGTAATTAATGTGATTAATATTGAGAAAAAGAACGTACAAGTATGCAGATTGGAGGAAAACGAATCTGTGCTCGGAGAAGAGAAATGGCGCGACGGAGATATTCTTATTCATATTTTCCGAAAAATTTGATGAGCTAATATCTTTTACAAAGAAAGTGACAGATATCGTTCCGTGATACGAAAACTGAAGATCCATTAAAAAAAATGGGAATATAAAAACATATGAATCATTTAAAAAATGCCACCTGTATGCTCCAGAAAATTAAAAATTATCTAAAAAAATCCCCGTGAATCTGAAGAAGTATCCTTTATGCAGAAAAGTATTTAGAGCAATTGTGAATTTTGTTCGCTCCGATAGAATTTTCTTCGTTTGGGAGAAAGAATCCTTCCTAAACGAAATTGTAAATTTTTAACGCCGAGAAAAACTGAAGATTTTGTTGATACGAAAAATGTCTTCTGCATGTCGAAGTAAATCATTGATTTTTACTTCTCTCGAAAATTCGTCCGTCTGTCAAGGAACATCGCGAATTGGCCTTGTTTAAGAAATATCACCATTAATGGAAAGAATTACGATGTATAAATTCGTAATAATGAAAACTGTAGATATTTATCTATGATTTTAAGTGACGGATTTTTTTGACGATTAGGATGCTATCAGAAAGAGAAATCTCCTACGAAAAAATGCAGAGAGATTTGAAGAATTCGTGGGAGAGGGACGATTGTTAAAGGATCGGAGTCTCAAAGAGTGATGATCGATGGAGCTTGATGGAAGGATGATAAATCTGAAGAATTTTGTTCGCATGCGGAAAAGTCGTCAAATGTATTTACTCTTCTAAGGACATGGCACAAAATTAGACTGATAGACGTCGAGAACGATGGAGATCGAGTGATTTCGGCAAAGGACCGACAAGTAGTTTTAGATGTTTTGTATAAGTCAGTGAAATCGATTGGTGCGTCAATTGTTAGTGCTTCAGAAAGTGCTTCCCCGATTTTCCTCGTCAAAGGATTACGCGTGGTGGCCGGAACCTTCCGTTTCGCGAGACGTGAGTATCCTATCACGCCATTTTGTCTCATCGGGATAAGTGTGTGTAGGGATTAATTGAGAACGGGTCTTCTTTACAGAAAAAATACATAAGAAAATTGAATCAATAAAAAGGATTTTATTCTAAAAGTGTCAACGAAAAATTTTTGTCACTTTTTTAATATTTACATTCTGTTCACAGTAAAAAACGTTTTATATTTGCGCTAGAAACGATCCAAGTCCCTGTTAAAATTTTGTGTCGAATTTTTAATATATTCGAGAATAAATTGATATAATGTGATTGTCATTTTGTGCTAAGGTGATATTGAACATTTCTTAATGTTAAAACAACATAATTTATGAATAAATGAATAAATAACAATATTTTTTATAACGTAAATGTCGTAAATTCTAAAATAAGTGAATAAAATGTGTAAATTTAGCATATCATAAATATTAAATTTATTGGAACATGTTAATGTAATGTATTAAATATGTTAATTTTAATGAGGAACATGATTGCTTAAAAATTGTGTTACGTTTTTGTGTTAATTTTTTACATATTTGTTACTTCCTAACATATTTGTGTTGTATTTACATCAAAATTTAAGTGGATTGTTTAGGGCAGATGAAATGTGTTAAACTTAATGTGTTAAATTTTCAACTATATAATGAAAAAAATTCTATACAATTAGAAAATTTGTGTTAAATTTCACGTGTCTCAAATAGTACATGCAAATTTTTGTGTTAATTTTTACACTGGATAAATATATTTACATTATGTAAAAACAAGAAATGTAATGCTTTAACACAATTTGGAAACAAATTGTGAAAACGTATTTCTTTATAGTAATATTAACATTTAATATGGTAAATTAACACATATGTATACCTTTTATTCATTTATCTTGGAATTTAGTCGTAAAACTGCATTTTTTATGTTATTTGTTTATTTACTTATAAATCGTACTATTTTAACACTAAAAAATGTTAAATATCAATTTAACACAAAATATTCAAATAACATAATTACATTATGTTAAATTAAAACTTGGAGTTGTTAAAAATTGAACCCAAAAGTTTTTATAAGGACCGATTTTAACACAAGTACGAAATATTTTATTGTGTGTTTTGATTAATATATTTGGTTAATAAACAGCATTTTTATTATGGAACAAACAGCAAGAACAATAATAAAATAACATAGTTATGGATGTTTTTCTATGATTGAAATTATGTATTTTTATTACAGAAATATAATTTGTTCAAATAATAAAATGATTAATATTTTGAATTGTTAATGTTACGCGTATCATAAATTACTTTGAATAAAATTAAAGGACAAATAAATAATTTGCGGTAAAATAATCATTCTACAATCAAATTAATTTTAAGAATTTCATAATAATAAAATCATGTATTGTGAATAATTTAAATTCTTTTTGTAATTATAACGTATTATTTACAAAGAGATTTCTCTAAAATATTTTTATAAAAACAACATTTTTATACACGAGTCAATATACTATATAATAACTTAAATAATGTTTTAACATAAATAATATTTTACGTATAGAAGCCATTTTTTTATTTGAAAAAATAAAAAACAATTTTTTAACCTATATTTTTTAAATATTGTATTTTCAACGTTGTTGAATAAAGAAAATTCACTCAAATTTGCTCAGAAAAAAATATTAATATTTAACATTATACAATCATAAATTTAATTTTATTAAAAAAATGTTTCATATACAATTCTTTATATATATTATGTCACTTTAATGGTGTAAGTATTAGACATACATTCATCACTATAAAGTTTGAAGAAAAATATTTAAAGAATAACAATTAAAGGAATTACGATTTTCAATAAAAAGCGTTGAAACGGCATTCCATTATGAAACAAACAGCAGTGTAAATTTTAGAATTTTTCCTTAAGAAGAGAAACGGAGGCTGGGGGCGTGGCGAAGGTGAAAGAGCAGGGCCGAAACAGGGTCAGGAATCAGTACGGTGGCAACCTGCAGCCCCCATTTCACCCCCATATACTGGTACATAAAGCCTGAGGAAAGCGCTAACCTACATGCTCATTCGTACGGCAAATCATATTCAGTTCGCAAAATGAAAACCACCCGCGATGCACACGTCATCACATCTGTTTCTGTCTCCCACTTGCCTCCCTTCTAGCGGCTGGCACGATGGTGAGAATCTTCTTTTAGAATAGGTAAATCCGCGGAGGCTTAATTTTAAGGAAAATCTCCCTTCTCTGAAATGTTCCCGTATATACACACTTAGGAACTTTAATATATTGAAATTTTATTATAGATATAGTAAATTTTTGAAACGTTTTTCGTTTTTATTTAATTATATTATATAATGTATTATATATGAATATGTATGTATAGTACATTACATATTTATAACATATATTACAATATTATTGTAATATGTAACATATTATAATACATTACATATTATACATATAATAATATTAATATATTATATATATTTGTATACTTTACGTTATCGGTTATACTATTGTTTTATTATTTTTTTCTTATTTTTAGATATTGTGCTGTTATTCTTTTTGTCTTTCTTGAACCCTGGAGATGAGAAAACAGGGGTTCCTAAAAATTATTACCGCATCACTTTTGCTGAAAGTTCCTTAATTAAATGAAATAAAAACTAATTGAATTTTAGTTGACAGACGGGAAATGCTCTGTTTCTTATATTATTTATATTATTAAATATCAGAAAATATATTAAATATATCAAAATATATGAAGCTTATTATTATCAGTGTAAGTTATATCACTGTAAGTCCTTTTTTTATCATAATAGTAATCTCCACATATTACTCGCGTCACTTGCGAAAATCGTACCGGTACAATATAAAGACCAGTGACAAGGACGATTCATCCAGCTCTCTCTATTTTTACAAATTTGCCAATAGCAACATTACTTACAAATATTTTGCTAATTTGATGCTATATTCGAAAAGAGTTTAAATATGAATTATAACCCTGAAGGACATTATAATTCAATTATCCACCTTGTACTGATAACACCTTAGGTAAATTGTATCAAAACTTAGATCAGACACCGAACAAAATCTATTTTGAATGTCACTCGTAAACAGACGACTCGAAGACAAAATACAAATGATAGTTTTTAACCCGTATTACGTTTTAACAGCGTTACATCAGTGTCATTATCTTTTAAAAAAAATGTTTCGTTTAGAAAATAGAGGTACAACTTAACCGACTTTCCCTTATATATGTATATCATTGCGACCACACTTACGAGCGTGATGGAACTTCGTTGTTCGCGATTAATATTCTTTAAGGTTTTCGCAAATAATACTTATTCGAGATTCGAAATTAACGCGACAGAAAATATTTTCAGACATTTATACTGTTTGCAATACACCGGTAATTGGGCGCCAGGCATCAATGAGCGTGCCACTCTTTTGTGGAATTAACAAAGATTTTACTTAAAATATAAAGATCTCTAAAGAATTGCGAACGCCAACGGTTCTCATAACCGACTGCTCGTGAATACTATTAAGACGTTGTGAATACTATTAAGTTTAAGTCTGAGAAAAATAAATTTAGATTTGTAAACATGCGTTATGAAAGAGAAATAAATAGTAAACTTTATTCTTATTCAGTGTAAAGTTAAGATTAAATTTATTATTACTCTTATTATTACTTTTAAATTATAATTACCTTTTATTATTTATATTTATTAATTGCTATTCTAATTTTAAATTGTTTTTATAGTTATTCTTACTCGATCTAGCAGCGCCAAGTGTTTTTACATGAAAAATTTTTCTATTTAAATTAAATTTTTTCATTTTATACGGTTAATTCTTTAATTTTTGTGATAACACTTAAATTGAGCAAGGTAACGCAATTTTGTGATAACGTTTTGTATATTATTTTGAAAGAGAATTAAATAACCACTACTTTAGTTGGAAGAGAAAATGTCTTTGTGTGTGAATGAATTGTGATATAATAATTTCATTTAAGAGGAATTTAAACCATTTGGATTGGAATAGGAAGATTCTTCAATAAGAGTAACGTACACTTAGGTTTCATTGTATAAAAATTAAAGATAGTATTATTTGGATTAAGTAAGTAAAGAAATGGGATTTGGCGCCAATTATTGATATATCAAATCCTTTATAGAGGAATGATACATATCATTAAAGTCAATATTATTTATTTAATTTGGTATCCGAATTACATGGAATTTAACTTGGCACTAATTGTTGATATCAAATCTTTTATATGAATAATACATATCATTAGAGTTAAGTAATATTATATACAAAGGACCGGTTTCACCAATCCGAATCAACCATAAATGTCAACCATAAGTGATCAATTCCACTAAACAGCAAATAATTTTTACGAAAACCACGCACGCTTAGCGCTTTTTTTATCTTTTTTTTAAAAGGTAAGTTTGTATAAATAACAAGAAACAGTACCATTTGTGTTTTACTTTTTAATGTGATAGATAAAATTTAACTTGGCGCCTGTTGTTGATATTAAATCTTTTATACATATGATACACATCATTAGAGATAAGTAAATAACAAAAATAATAATACCACTTGGATTTTACTTTTTAATTTGGTAGAATTTAACTTGATAAATGGTCTCTTTTCTGTTCCTGCATTAAACTATTTTAGAACTCTCTTTTTCGCTTTAAACAAATATCAAGTCTCGCGCTTTCGATATCTTCTACATATATTCTTCCTTGCCACCCGTTGAGGTGGTGAGACGACGCTTCGTACAACGAATCACACACAGAAATTGTCGATTATCCTAAGTAAATTCGCAAATAGTAATATTTTGCAGGACGTAACAAAAAAAAATTGCTAGAAAATTATGATAAGCGCCGACACGCCCGCCCTCCGCGTCGGGAAGACACAGAACGACAATGCTATGTTATTTCAGTCAGGTCAGATAACCCTTGTAAGGGACAGTGAAAAACATTAGCACGTTAAACGGTACGTCA